GTTGAGGCCATTCTGGGCCATGATTCTCTCTATTATGGTGGTTAAATTATTTTATGCCAAGATGTTATCATTTCGAATTCTATGAACGACTGCATCAGCATCTTGATTTCGACCCACCATGACAACCCCTCTAGGTTGTTCTTCTTGAAACTCTGGGACTTCTAGCCTTTCGATCCTTGCCCCTGGTTCCATTATTTCCCTTTGTGGGCCTTGGATCATTGGGGCTTCTAGCCTTTGTGCCCTTGCCCCCAAGTTAACCTCCTCTCTGGCTGGTCTATAGGGTGGGTCGTTAGCAACTTGTTCTATAATAGGTACGTTCGCTCGAACTCCCGCCTGATTCTGCCTACACCTCTCTGGGGGAGCGAAGAAATCTGCTATTCGACTCATGTTATCTGCGTTTTCTCTGTTTGTCACAGTCACATTTTGTACTATTGGGGCAAATATCTCCTGCATAGTTTGTGCTAATACTCCTATCATATTATGGTTACTGTCATCCATCAATTGCCTAAAAGCCAACTGATTTTCTGTGGTTAAGATAGGCATTGCACTATAACCCACTGACCCTTGGTTATTTGTCATAAACTGATTTGCCCCAGACCCAGACCCTAATTGTGGTGATGAATTCGATGTGGAATTGTGTAAGCCTGCCATAAAAGATGTTGGCATTTCATAAGAGGAATTTCTGGTTCTATTGCCATCGAAACCGGGTGGTCTAGTTAGTGGGGTGGCGAAATGGGTTTGTGTCCCTGATGGTGGGACGAATCCCCCGGGATAACCAATGGTTCCAGTATTTCCTAGGATCGAACTGTTAGTTGATATGCCACTTATTCCATTAGTGGCTATATTACTGGTAGAGGATGCAACAGACTGTGCATTCGAAGGGATCACATTAGATGTTCCCATCGAAGCGGACATATTAGTGCCTGTTGTATGTGGGGCATTTTGTTCCCCTTGTTGATTGTCAGAATTAGACATCTTGTTCAAACGTTTTCTTCTGGATAAGGGTTGGTTACTATTGGTTATTCTACCACTTCTAAGGTTCATAAAACAACAAACTTATCACTCAGAGGGTATTTTTACAATGGTTACGTCTCAACAATTTTTTACTTTGTTCTAAATTTCGTAATGGCCAATGACGCGTCCCACCAGGTGTGCTAATTTGTTTACAGTGATTTCTGGTAAACAACCGCTAGTCCTCCAAACTATCGAATAATCTTAATGACTGTTATTCAATCTCTCTGGTAACTCGCTGGATCGACTAGATTGATCCTAGGATGTATTGGTCATTTGGATAACTCTCATTATAGAACTGGTATTCATGGTTGGTATTTAGAATGTTGTGTAGGTGTTTAACTTACTTCGATTACTCTATTAAAGATCTAATAACTTGATCAAGTAAATGCGCGCGAAACTAAATTGCATGAATAAAGTTCAATTGTAAAGACATATAAAACTGCAGAAAAGACAAGTAAATGACTTCGAAGCATAAAAACAAGTAATGTAAAAGATTCTCTGGAATGTAAAAGATTCGAAATATGAAGAAAGCGTTTAAATGCAAGAAAACAGTAAAATGACTTTAAGTGAAAAAAGGTGTTCGAATGAAAAAAGCTTGAAGATAAAGGCATGTAATATACAGAAGTTTCTGAAATGTAAAGTATTTGAAATGGAAAGAAAACATTTAAATGTAAGGCATCAATAAAAAGACTTCGAACGAAAATATTTTAATGCAAAGGCTTTTGAAAGGTATTGACATGAAGATAGAGGAAAATACTGGAAATGATAAAGAGTTTTATTAAATCATAAACACTTGGTGTTATCATACGTACATTGCTCGTGCATTCGTTTCCCTAGCCATGTGGTATTTTGAATGTTTACTGAATTTTTTGTACAATAGATATGACACACGAAATCCTAATGCTAAGACTTCTATTTATACTACTTCGACCATAACGGTCTTGCTATAAGATTCTGCCACGTTCAGAACATGCAAAGCAATGCCTCTCTCTAGCTTCCACGCGTCTTCGAATGCTCCAGCGCATATATTTTAAATTTCGAACATCCCGCTTGCATTTGAATTTCAAATGTTTTGGCACTTCTTCGCTTCGAACGCATTACTTGGACACAGCCTTGTTATCATTTCGAGACTTCTTTGAATATATTCTCATAACTGTTGCTCGAAGCTCCAAGCTTTGATATGCCCATTCGAAGCACTGCTTCTACCATTTCGAAACATGACATCTTGCTTTATTCCAATCGAAACGTCCAATTTGCTTCCCTTCTAATAATATCATCAAAATCTCTAGCCAACAGGAGGTGGGTGGAATGATGAGAAGGCATTGGTTGTTTGTTAACATCACATATTTTTGGAATAAGAGTTTTGAGAATGCATTTTTCAGTGGTTCTAGCTGTAGTATTCAACAGAGCGTTCCAAATGCGTTGTTAGGGGATGAGAATAGACTGTTTTACCGTAGACATATCATAAATTTAGTTTTATTCAACCTTCTCAAAAGACTTGTATGACCTATTTCATACAAATGAATTTAAAATAATAATAACGTTATATAATAAGAATTATTTAAATAAGAAAGATAATAATATATATTTTTTATTTTTTATTATTGTTTTAAAAAATAATTTTAAATTTATTTTAAATTTAATTTTTTTTTAATAAAAATTATGGAGTAGTAGTAATAATGAATAATTGAGATTTAATTCTTAACTTTCTTATTTTCATAATTTCTTATTAGTAAATATTTTCATTAAAATAATAATTTGACATATATTTAATTAGACTAAAGAATTTATATACCAACACGATTAAACTCTATTTTAATATTTAAGAAGATAATTTAATTTTTTTTTACTGAATATAATATAATATAATAAATTTAAATATGCAAAACATTAATGTAAATTAATAATTTAATATACTAATAAATAACTTTAATAATAATACAAAAATATTATAATATTATAATAATAAGGCTTAAAGACTTTCTTATAGCTCAAATTTTGAATTTTATAGTTAAATAGACTTTAAAAAGAAAATCTAAGCCTTTTAAAAGTAAGCAAAACTGGTCTAACCAAGACCTGATATATGATAGATCTTAGGCTCCTATAAATCGATTGGCCTATTCTCACCATATGTATTGTTAAATTTGAAAGTCACTTAATTTATTGACTAATAGTACACATTACTGATCCACTTTCTTCAAGCAATTACATTCTATAAGGAACTTTGTCCCTTTACCGCAAATTCTTTAAATGATCTAAAAAGTGTTAAGCACACTCTTTCGAGTGAAATATAATGAACTAAGAAATGCATAAAAAAGACATTGTGACTAAAATATAAAACCGTGTAAAATAGTTCGTTTGATTGATTGTGTGTTGAAAATATTTACAAATTTAATATTTGTAGATAAATATTTTCTCTATTTTAAAATAAGTGTCTCTTTAGTATAAAAAATGTGTCTTAAAATAAATGTTGTTTTATTTTTTCAATGCAACATTAATCAATTTTACCTTTAATTAATTATCCCTGCACTACTTTCAAGGCAGACAATGTAAAATTAGCTAATAATCATTAAAGATAATTTTGTAAATGTGTTATATTTATTCTTTCATTCATTATTTTTCTTAATTTGTGTGTTACAACTTTAAAATTTTTTTATTTTGAAACAGATGGAGTATTAGCTCTATCGCGCAAAGCATCGTGACCTACAAAATTTCACGTGCTCAATTATTTATGTTGGTGAAACGTGAGTTTTTCTGCTATTATAATACTCTTTCAATCTCAAAATAATTATCTTTTTAAACATAACAAGTTATCAAAAAATAATAATTTTTTTACTTTCTCAATACAATATTGATTAACTTTAATCAATTTTATTCTTAATCTATGCTCTTTTCAAATTATAATAATATATAATAATCAATAATAATTAAAAGTAATTTTATAAAAATATTATTTTTATAGATTCAATCATTACTTTTTTTTAATTTATATATAACGATAATTATTTTGAAATGGAGCAGCTACATACATGTTTGACTTCTTCCTTCTATTTATTGACATTTTATGTTTTTATGTGTCTAGGCGTGCATATTCTCTCAAAGCATGGTTCCTTGCTTTTGGTTTTCTTTAATAAGCACGGTTCCTTGCTTTTGGTTTTCTTTAATTGATGATGCTATACATATGGAGCACATGTAAATTGTCTTGTTTTTACATTTTAAATCTGTATTATCCTTTTCGATTATGACATGTAAAGAGTTCCAGAGAATATCATTAAAAATGGAAGAGTTTGTTGTTGTTTTGATTGATTATTCTAATAGCACATGATGTGCTTTAAAGTCTATTATAATATTTAAGTGTTTTTATGTTGTTTTGTGTGATGAGTAGTCTAATTTTTGTTTAAGTAATATGTGTTTTGTAATAAACATCATTGATATTGTTATTTGTTATTTGATTATGTATGAATAATTAAACACACAATTATATTATTATCGGTAAATATATATATGATTCAATAATTATTATTTTTTAAAAACCAAACAATCAAACCAATTCAAACTAAATTAATTTAATTCGATTTTATTTTTAAAAGTCAACTAAATTAAATTACAATTTTTTTTCCTCTTCCGAGTCAAGTGATTTTTAACATAAAAAAACCCAAATATCTAGTACCCCTGCAAATTAGATCTATTCGATTGTTAAATTGAAAGTTTTCATTAAATAAATCAAATAAATTTTACATATGACCACTCTCATTAACTTTTTAAGAAAAAAAAGTATAAAAAAGAAAATATTGATTTTATTTCAAAAATAAGAAAGAAGAAGATTCACGTGGTCCCACTGCTATTGAGAAAAAAAATCGCTTATTCATAATTCTTATTCATTTCATTTCACAAAATCCAATTTTCATTTTCCTGCTTTTTTTTCCAAAAACAACTTTTCTTCTTCGGCTTTCCTTTCACAGTTCACATCAACCACCTTCAACTCCATGGATTCTCTTCCGTCGGTATCTCCCTCCGTGGCTCTCCCTCCAAGCAATCCCTTCCGTCGCCATACCCGCCGTCTTTCTCTCTTATCTACCCATCTTCCTCCCAGACTCTTCTCTACACCTCGCGGCCGAACGACGAGAAACGAGGTGTCGTGCAACGTTGGCGGCGGAGGAACTGCAGGAGGAGACGACGGTGGAGACGAGGAGGTGGAGAAAGCGCTCCATATGGACGGAAAAATTCCTGGAAGCTCCGACGAGTTTCTGAAACGTGTTTCCTCCCGCGCTTATGATATGCGCAGGAACCTCCATCAGTCTATTGATTCTAGCAGCTATGACGGTATCTTTTCTCTTTAGATTCGCTTTTTCTTGTGATTTTGAGAGATTAATTGAACTTGAATTTTATGTTTCTTTTCCAAACTCGATCTTTATTATTTAAATTGAACGATAAAAGTCAATTTTCAGTTTCTTTATATTGAATTATTTAAGCTTATCTAATAAAGCTTACAGAATCGCTTAAGGCTGTTTGGATAAACATCTTATTTGTAGCTTATAGGACAAGTGTTTATCAAAATAAACGTGTATGTATAAGCTTGCACGAACTATTTTTATGAATAAGCTTGCATAAGCTTATGAATATGCTGCACAGGCTTATGAATATGCTTGAATAAGCTATTTTTATGAATAAGATTGCATAAGCTATTTTGGAAACTTATAAAAGTTTAAAAAATATTTCATAAGCTGTTTAAATTAAGACTACTAAACAGTGTCACAAAACTTATGTAAGTAGATAAGGTTTAATAAGCCAATCTAAACAGCCCATATTACATGCTCATAGTATGTCCATAAGTTTAGAAAAACAGTTTATGGCTGTTATGAAAACATGCTAGACTTTATTTTATCTCTTGTTTGTTTTATAAATATATTACACATAAGCATTTATATAACAAGCGCTTAGTTAAGTTGCTTATCTAAAGAACACCTAAGTTGACCACACTTCTCCCCAAAACGACCTTGCTTTGCATGTCTATACTGGTTTTTCTTCTCTTTATTCCTCTATGACATGTTTGCCAAACCGAAATAATTGAGAACTTATAGAAGTTGACAACTTTAAGCTTCCATCCAACTCAGGTTTCAAATCAAGCAGACAGTTGAATGAGTCTATAATATATTGGTTATTTTTCTAAGACATGTATAAGATGAAAGTGGTTTAGTATAGCTGAATGATAAGACTTTGTAGTGTACAAGAGATTAACATCATCTTTGCAACACTCAATTCACATTTGCATCTGACATCATCCCAACGTGAACCCATCTATTGAGTGTCAACCCAAATCTCTTGCATAAACTAACTCGTGAACTAAAAAACAAGAGCAATTCTGTTGTTGCAAGTGTGTAGTGAACCGAACAGGTCAACAAGGGGAATGAGTCCCTACTCGCATGAGCTAAAGACTAGCTCTACCGAGTTGAATCTAGCCCCAAAGTGGGGGATCCTTACTCTTTGGTAATTTTACACCTTGTCATTTGTCCATTGATTTTGCCCTTATTTTTTCTTGTGGGTCAGTCTAGCATAGTCGAGTTAGCCGGGTCGTGCAGAGTCTTAACTCATGTAACCATCTTAGTTTAAGTTATTTCTTTCAGAAAATTTGAAGTTTGTTATTGTGATTTGCTTTATTACTAAGTTTGAATATTGCTTTGCTTTATCACCAAGTTTGAATATTGCTTTGCTTTATTACTAAGTTTGAATATTGAATATTACTATGCAATGCAAATAGTATCTGTTCAAATATATGAAATATTTCAGAATATTTTTCAATCTATGTTAGAATATTTTAGTTTATCTCCTAGGACCATTTCTAATCTTAAGAGTATAAAAATTAGTTTTCCTATTACTTAGTTATTATCATGATTTGTTTCCTAATTTTTCTATTTATTTAGGATTAGGAGTCTTGTATCCTTATCAATAGGGGCTAGTGTTTAATCTTTTATATCAAGTCAGTATTAAATTTTTATCAATCATATTAAATTTTTTTATTTCTTTCTTTTATCTAAAACCAAGTCAACCATATTCGATTGTGTTTAGATATTGTTGTAGATGTTTCAAGCAGTATTAGTATAGACAGAGAGTGTTTTAGTTACTTGTAATAATAATTGACGGTTGTCATTTTGTCGGTTTATCTTTCTAACTTATTGTTTCTTGTTTTCCTTTCATCAGTTTTAGACGACAACCCTTGGAGAGAAACTTCAAAGCCTGTGTATGTACTCACCCAAAAGGAAAACCAATTGTGCACGATGAAAACCCGGAGAAATATTAGGTGTGTTTTAACTTTCAATTATGTTTTCTTTTCTCAAGTAATATTTAGAATTTTCAGTATATGACTTTACTTTTTATGTAACAGCGAAGTTGAAAGAGAGCTTGGCTTATTGTTTTCTAAAGGAAGCAAATGGAGAGCTGCAATAGAAAATCAGTCAAAACAAGGAAGGGGTGGGACAAAATTTCCAATGCAGGTAGAAGATATTAGAGAGGGAGTGCTGGTATGTACTCTATTCAGAGTCAGACACATACACATACAAAATTATGACTTACTTTTTTCGACACACACTTACAATTTGACAATGTTGGTTTAGGTATTTGAAGATGAAAACGAGGCAGCAAAGTATTGTGACTTATTGCAAGGAGGTGGTCAAGGTTGCGAGGGTGTTGCTGAGATAGATGCCTCATCGGTACAAATAACCAAGCCATTGTTATTTGCCTCTGATCTCTGTTGTTTGAAAATTTTAAACAATAATGTTTTCATGGTATCTTGCAGATATTTGAACTTTGCAAGAAAATGAGGGCTCTTGCAGTTCTATTCCGTAGAGGGAGGACACCTCCTGTACCCGAAAACCTCAAGCTCAACCTGCGAGCTCGAAAGCGGTCACTTGAAGACCAAGATGATTTGATATGAAATTCAACTCCCTTGTGATGGGAAATAAATGACTGTATGGTAAATAATTGTATCACCCAAAACAGCAAAAAATGTGTATAACAGATTCATTCATCAGTATATAAAAAAATGTGTTTCAACACAATTGGACAAGCGTTTTTTTAGTTATAAAAACGGGAGTCAAACCCGGGTCTATTGCTTGGAAGGCAATTATCCTAACCATTGGACTACAAATGCCTTGCATGTCATGTAATTTATCGATTCTTTTTTGTAAAGGTTAACGTGTTTTCCTTTGTACGAGGTATTAATTTTCTAACGACATGAAGTGTTTTGATTTGAGATGAAGAACCGAAAGAGCATAATCACGATCACCATCACTAACAAATAACAATTCAATTACAATTTACAATAGCATATAGGTTGTTATTCGTTTATTCAAAATTATATAATAACTTCATTATATCTTAGTTGAATTTGGGATCAAATAGTAGGTAAATCCAATACAAAGAGAATCAACAACATGAAACTATTTCTCCATAGGGGATAATCTCATACAAGTAATACACAAGGGTATTTTACACAGCTCATCAGAAACTTAAGTTGTAAACTTAAGGAATAAAGAAAATTATTATAAGAGTTTATTTTTATGAAAAAAGGTCTTCAAATGCCACAGTTGTAAGCCTGCTACTGAGAAGCACACAAAAAATGATACGAATATCAACAAAAACATCCTATTATCGGTTACATAGTTGAGATGTATCATTTCTGTATTTCTGCAAAGAAAAGAAAAGTAAATTAAAATAAAAAACTATATATTTAAAAATTAAATTTAAAAAACCTGACCAATAAATATGTATGCATACCGTTCAAGAAGATAAGTCATCTCCTCCTTAATAGACAAGGCCATTTCATGCATAATTTGTACTTCTTGTGCCATTCTCTATTACATGTTTACAAAAATCAAATCAATTAAATCAACTCAGTTGATAGTTGTGCAGAATCATCTGACTATAGTAACATTAGTAAAATAATTGAAAAACTTACATCAATGTTACTTTTCTTTGCAATATTGAACCGATCTATGGCTTCTACTCCGACTCTGAACTCAAAATCAATAGAAAGTGTAACTTGAGGATCTTTAGTTGTATCCACAAAACATATTATATAGTCACCAGTTTGATACGCCATGAATGAAAACTTCCCTGCTTGAACCCTCTCTGCAAGATGATATTTAGCCATACCTCCATGTGTAGACACCTGAACAGTGATAGTCTGGTTAGAGGGCAATGGAAGAGCCCCATAGGGATTGACGATGGAGTAGTTTCCAACTACCATTGAATTCTTCTTTATTTCTTCAGAGAAACATCTTACGGAATTTCCTTTACTAGATGGTAAGTCAAATCTCATGGATTGAACTGAATATGAAAAGAGTGCAACAGATACAAGAAGAAGAAAAAGTGAATATAAATGTTGTGTGTTTGATACAAACATATTCCTGATTGGTAGTGAAATGAGAAGAAGAAAGTAGAAGAATTAATCAAAACTCACACATACTTAGGTGGAAGGTGGTGGTGATGAGTATGAGTAGAATTAATCTATATATTATTATGTGTTTGTCCCAAATTTGTTTGTTAATTATGTAACTTGGTTTTCATTGGTTCTTGTTTTGAATATTTAAAGGGTATGCATGTTTTTGTGGCTTCTAAAAAGCAAGTAAATGATTGGAGAAGGCTTACACAATCAAAATAGATTTACATTATATGAAAATAAACCTCCAACCTCTATTATGAGTTATCTCAATGGCAACCATGCATGACAATATTAAGTTAATCAATAAACAAAGTGAAGATGCCTAAATTCCATCTCTAATAGACAAGCCAAAATAACCTTTTGAGACTTTATTCCACCTCACACAAACAAGCCAAAATCCAAAAATAACCTTTTGAGGATTTCTAAGATTTAGAGTAAAGATACATTTTGAAGGAGGAATTCAATTAATCCTAAATAATCCTAAATCACTTAATTCATTCTCGACCATGTCTAAGGCACAACAAATCCTTAACACATGGCTTCAATTTTTTGATGGCCTCATACTACACTACTACAAGACAATAAGTATCTATGATTTTTATATTACTCACAACATTACAATAGATATGTGAATGTCATGGAAAATGTTAATAGTAAAACTATTTATTTACTTATTTACCAGAGTTTTAGTAAATAAGAAGCAAAAACTAATTTATACCTACACGAAGACAATATTTCTTTGTTAACTACACAATTCAACTTTCTTGTAAAATTGGTAGAATAATTAAAACAACTTTAAACAAATTATTTAGAGTTCAATCATGTTAAGAAATTTGATGTGTAATACAAATAACAATGACAACTAGATAAATGATCTTAAACAATAAAATTAAGGATTAAATATATTTTTGGTCTCGATAAATATCTCAAATTTTATTTTTAATCCTATAAAAAAATAACATATTTTGGTCTCTACAAAATTTATATGCATGTTATTTTAGTCCTGCTATTTTCTAAAATTTTGAAAATTGTTTAATTATTCTTAAATTTTTAAATTTTTGAATAACTTTTTTCATAATACTATACTAATTTTTTTATATCAAATTTTAGAGTTTTTTAAAATAAGAAGAATTAAATATGATTTTTTTTTTAAAGTTTCAAAAGATAATGATAAAAATAATGAAAATCTCAATTTAGAAATTAAATTTCGAGTTCCTTTATTTTCGAGGAACTTTTTATTATGTTCTAAACAAATCTGCAAAAAAATCATTCAAAAATACACATTGATTTACCGACGGATACTAAAACTACATCCATAATAATTTTGTAGGGATTAAAACATACACAATTTTTATAGAGACCAAAAACATATTTAATGCTAAAAATAATAATAGGCAAGAACACAAGAAATTTATTTATCCAAATCGATCAAATCTATATATGTCTGGGACAGAGAGCAACTATACTATACTTTAAAAGTTGTTGCAAAATATTATATTGCGAGTTACAAGAAAATAGCCTTTAGAATTTTCAAGAACAAACCCTATTTTTTACAGAAGTGTTTCTCAATCTCTTCAACTTTTAATATAAGAACCACATAAATCTAAAGTATTTAAAGTGTTTACCAACCCATTTGATAATCCCAAAAGGCTGCAAACTCCCTAGAATATAACTCTAAAGAATTTTACTCTTTGCTTTCCACTAGGATTTCTACCTTATGCAACTTGTCTCTAACAAATAAGAGAAAAATCATATTTCTAACTAACAAAATATTAACGGGTCCAAGATATGATCTATTAAAAATGATTCTCAAACGAGCCCGAAAATCTATCAATATCGAAATATATATTTTTCCTTCTCTTTTTTCTCACACGAGGTTCTACGACATACTTCAACAATATTCAACGTGAATTAAAACCATGGTGATGCCAATTCATCCATCAACCATCTTGCTGCTCTCTACCATGTTAAAACACTATTCAACAACCTTAATCAAGTAAGTCTTCCTTGAACCTTGATCTTGTCACTTGCATCCACTTACTTTCAATCACATTTTTCTTCTTAGGTAATCTAAGAAGCTCACAATCATGGTTCTTCAACTATATTTGACTTCACCTGCTTTCAAATGCATCTACACACATTTGTTGAATTAATATTGCTTGCGTTTTCATTTTTCCTAATACAAAATGGTTGTCTATAGAAAATATTTCGATCTCTAATTTACCCATGGTGCTAACTTGTAAACTTAACCCCTTTACCCTATAGTTGGGGTTACTTGTTATGAAATTGATAGAATAAATAAAACCGTCAAAAGAACTATTCATAGTTCAATCACATCAAAAAATTTGATGTGCAGGACAAAAAAATGACAACCATAAAAATAGCCTTAAGAAATAAAAATAATAATAGGCGAGAACACAAGAAATTTGTTTATCCAGTTTTATCAAATCGATCTACGTCTGGAGAAGAGAACAACTCTCCAATTCTCTATACTTCGAAAGTTGTTAAAAGATATTACAACATGAGCTAAAAGAAAATAACTTTTGAAGTTCCCAAGAGCAAAATTTATTTTCTATCCAAATGTTTTCCAATATCTCCAACTCTCAATATAAGAATCACACAAACTAAATAAGTTTAAAGTATTTATCAATCCGTTTGATAGCCCCAAATGGTTACCAAATCCCTAGAAAATAATTCAAAAGAGTTTTACCCTTTGCTTCTAACTAGGATTACTATATTATGCAATTTGTCTCTAACAAATGAGAGAAACACCATATTTATAGCTAAAAAACTATTAACGGGCCCAAGATATGATCCATTAACAAACAAATCTGCGAGAAAGTTTGAAAATATCATACTTCAACTAACTTATACCAACATGAAGAAAATCTCATAAAAGTCAAGTACCTAAAGTTTCAGAGAATATAAAACAAGACATTTTATATCAAAGTCACTTGTTTACTTACTGATTTTGGGAAATTTTGAGCCATGAAGTATTGTTCATTGATGCATTTGTCTCAAAAGACTCCAAATTATAAATATGTTCATCAACTATCTTAGTTTAGTTTTGATGAAGACAAAATCTTATCAAAGAAGAAAACGTTTGAAATCAAGAATCAAGATTGCATAAGATTTGACTATTATGGAAATTAAATGGAATTGATCATTGATGAAAATAATTTTCGGTGGGTAAAGTATTTTATATCGTCTCCACAAGGATTAGTGCGACATCAATGCCGTTCCACAGTTAATACGATTTTAAGGAAATATTGATAAGAGTTTTGATTGTGAAAAGTATTGATTGCATGAAAAACATGTAACAATGGTAAAAGATTAAAACTTTAATTGTTTAAGAAACATGTCAAGATTTGAGTTTATTAACCTATTTCATATGTATTCGACTAATCTAGCATGAAAATTTCATTATTAATCAATATAATCACATATCACTCATCAACACTACTTATGTCTAACCGGTGTCGCGATTTTTA